AAAGAATTTGTGTAGTGTATAACAGTGTTGCTTCTTTGCAGCAGATGTCTGTTTGCTCTGTGGTTTTCATAGATTTCATAGACATCAGGGCTGGAAGGGACCTCGGAAGATCATCGAGTCCAGCCCCCTGCCCAAAGGGCAGGAAGTCAGCTGGGGTCATAGGATCCCAGCAAGATAAGCATCCAGTTTCATCTTGAAGGTGTTCAATGAAGGCGCTTGAACCACCTCTGGTGGCAGGCTGTTCCAGGCCTTGGGGGCTCGGACAGTAAAGAAATTCTTCCTTATGTCCAGCCTGAAACGATCTTGAAGTAGTTTGTGACCATTCGACCTCGTCATCCCTTGGGGCGCTCTGGTGAACAAACGTTCCCCCAGATGCTGGTGGTCACCCCTGATAAACTTGTAGGTGGCCATCAGATCAGTGGTGGGAGAAGGCAGGCAGGCTGGAGCTATCCTCACTCTTCAGCCGTGTCAGGTAGGTGCCCTGGGGACTTGAGTGGCCTGATCCTGCACACCCTGGAAACTCTTGCACAGGATTAGGCCCCTCGACCCTGGAAGCAGCTGCCTGGCTTTCCCTGCTTACAGAGACACCCTACCATGTGGCTGCAGTGGTTTGAGTTTAACCATAATCCCACTGCTTGAGGTTAAACAATGCTGCCACTCCCTTCTCTAACACACCATGGACAAAGTAGAGTGAAAGAGATGAAAAGGGAGTTCCTTTGGCAACAACATGCATGCTGTTTAAACATTTTGATTCTTGGAAGAGAGGGAAGTGTGGCCTTGCAACACACTATAATAGTTCCCAGTCAAGAGAAGCTTCAGTATCCATACCCAACAGATTCAGCACTTCCTGCTAAATTGGGCCCTAGACATTAACAAGACAAGCTTTATGACTGAAAGAAAAACATTCCAAGAAATTAATGAAACAACATCACCTTGCTGACATTTTACCTAGAATATTAACAACTCACCCCCCTGGATATTAACATGGGGTTTCTCTCATTTAGCTACAGGCAAACATGACATTCTATGTTGTGAGCTTTCCTGGTTACAGTGCAAACAAACAATCATTAGTTTGACCATAAAGTGGTGAGAATTCAATGGCTCTGCAGCCACTAGATTGTCTTCTAGTGAATACAGCTATTGTTATTCTAATAGGCATTACATTAAAGTATTTAAAACATCTTGACTAGGAGAGCACTGCCTGCTGAGATACTTCCATGAAGCAAGCCAGATGTTTCCAATTGCGTACCCTAGAGGATATCCCACAAACATGAGCAGTTTGATATACCCTGAGCTTAAAAGTGATTTGTGTTATTTCAGTGTTTTAAACTCTGTGGGCACAATTCTCACTCACAGTAAAGCACTTTTATACCTTCAGAATTGTGTAATGGATTTCAGGGGGAGGGAGAATTTGGTCCTGTCTGCATCTTCTCTGTATTAGGCAGAGTAAAAGGAGAGCACAGCTTCTACCTTTATGTCTTTTTGTATCCAATCTCAGTAGATTTTTCTCTAGCTTCAGATTAGAAACCATACAATGTATTCCCCCAATGGAAGTCAGCTTCTGCAATTTGGGAGAAAGTCTTTGTCTTTTCTTGGAGTACTCCGACCCTAGGCAGAAATGAACATAGGGCATTATCCTGCCAGGTGCTGAGATTCACTATAAAGTACCCAGAGGCATCAGTTCCATTTCACTTATTATTGGTCTCTGCAAGTTTCCTTTCTGCAAGACTGGGATAATGCTTACCTTTCCCAATGAAGCACTTTGAGATACATGGAAGAAGAATGCTAAGGACAAAGTATTCAAGTGGATAATAATAAAATCAATCAAATGATTTCAAAAGAAAAAAAGACCTGTTTAAAAAATAAAATTGCAAAAAAATATAAACATGATATACATTTTCCCCAAATTTGACTAGATTAGCAAATGTTTCATTTCCAGAAATGATGATTTTTCAGTACATTCCCAAACTTGAAAACTTTTTAAATTGTATTTTTAATCATGTTTTTAAAGGAATTATGGGGAAAAAAATAAAAGAACAGGAAAAACTGTTAAAATATTTTGTAACCCAAAAAACTTCAGTTTTTTAAATATTTTACAAAGTACCTTTGCAGTTTTTTTTTTTTCCATAGATTCATAGATGTTAGGGTCGGAAGGGACCTCAATAGCCCAGCTAGATACTCATCTAACCTCCTCTTGAAGACCCCCAGGGTAGGGGAGAGCACCACCTCCCTTGGGAGCCCGTTCCAGACCCTGGCCACTCTAACTGTGAAGAAGTTCTTCCTAATGTCCAATCTAAATCTGCTCTCTGCTAGCTTGTGGCCATTATTTCTTGTAACCCCCGGGGGCGCCTTGGTGAATAAATACTCACCAATTCCCTTCTGTGCCCCCGTGATGAACTTATAGGCAGCCACAAGGTCACCTCTCAACCTTCTCTTGTGGAGGCTGAATAGATCCAGTTTCTCTAGTCTCTCCTCGTAGGGCTTGGTCTGTAGGCCCTTAACCATATGAGTGGCCCTTCTCTGGACCCTCTCCAGGTTATCTGCATCCCTCTTGTTTTGGAATATCTTGAATTATCTTTAGTCTTCTGTGTTAATTTTGAAGGGAGAAAAGAATACAAAAGACTCCATTTTCCCCTGGGTTTTTAGCATTTATGTCTTTACATCTGAGACATGTTGGTGTAGTATACATAGTGCAGTCTAAATCTTCTAGGTCTGATTCACTCATTGTCTGACCTTGTTGGATCAAATTACTTATCCTCCCTGCAAGCCAGTTTATCCACTTTAAAACACTGAAATGTGGAGTTTGCTGTTTTCCGTAAAGGCCCAGGAGACACTAGTCTTGATACGGTTTAATAAATACAAATTTATTTAAAAAATTGAACTAACACAATTGGGTACAATGCAAAACGAATTCATGTCATGACATGACATTGTATTGGTTTCCCTTCCATTCATACCTCTTTGTTGTGCTTATCATCCCTCATAATATCATACCTCGTGGTTATCATGCCTAACCTAGACTGTGATGTCCTCAGGACAGGTAGATGTACTGTTTATTAGTCCATGAAACATCATGCTGAGTGTTGCTCCACTTCCAGAGAAATTAAGTGCACAGAAATGATCTTGCACAAAGTCCTACAAAAATATGGTTAGTAAAATAAAGTGAAAGCCACAGGCAGATTAATGCACGGGCCAGTAGGGCCCAGGCACAGGGGCCCCTGCCAACCAGAGTGAAAGTGAAAGCTGCAGTTTTAAACCTGATGCCATTTTTGTCTCTCTGCTGGTGGGCAGCAAGCAGCAGGGCCACAGGGACTCCTCAAACAATCAGTGTCAGGGAGATAAAAATGGCCCCAAGTTTAAACCTGCAGCTTTTGCTTCCCTGTTGAGGAGTGAGCTGCAAGTGTGGCACCCACCAGTGGCAGGGTGGGGGACCTGCAAAATTAAAGTTGCTGCCACACACATGGCCAGGAGCACAGCTGAGCAGCCTGCAGGTAAGTCTGTGCGGGGGGGAAAGGGTTGTGGGGGAGGTAAGGGGCAGGGGCAGATCGAGACCCCCATGGTGAGGGACGGAGTGGGGCAGGGGCAGGTGCTGCCCAGCCAGGGAGGTAAATGGGACCCTGGGGCCAGGAGCGGGATGGAGCTATGGGCAGCTTGTCTGGGAGGGGTAGAGAAGCGGGGCAGCTCCCTGCCACTGGTGCATCCCTGTGGGAGGCATGTAGGGGCATGTGCCCCCTGGATTTGTGTGTGGGGTGAGGGCAGACTGCCAGCTGTGGGCTCTGGGGCCAGGGGCTGCGTCGGCCTCTACCTGGTGGGGAGGCTGTGCTCAGGGTGGACTCAGCGGGTGATGGCGGTGGTGACAGTGGCACCGAGAGGGGTGGCTATGGGCAATTTTGGGGTGGCTATAGCCCCCCCCCCCAACGCCCTCCTAGTGCCACGCCTGCTCAGGGTACTCAATGCAAGGCTCCTGAGGGAAAGGCAGCACAGCGAAGTGCTCTGAGCAGGGGCAGTGCCAGTGGGGGCTTGGGGAGCTATAGCCACCCCAAAATTCCCTGTCACCCCCTCCCATAGCCACCCCTTCCAGTGCTGCCGCTGCCTGCCCCACTAAGCCTGACTCACTTCCAGCCCTGGGTCACATTCACCACCCTGGCTGGCCAGTGCCTACCTCTGCCATACTCCCCCCCCACCATGGGGTGCTTGATCTCCCCACCCCCAGCCAATTAAGATTTGCTGGGGCCCTGGACAAGAAAAAGAGTGGAGGCCTCTTCCATGAGAGTTGCGTTCTAGCAGGGGGAAAAGCCCCTTCCTCCCTTCCCCTCCTAGTGCTGGTGCCGTAGAGGTGTATGACCCAGTTCTTATTCACTCACTGTAAAGTTACAGTAAGCAATATTAAGTAAATAAGAAAAGGACTTATTTGTATATTTTCTGGTGCCTGATATGCAAATAAGTATGCAAATAAGCCACCTTCTTACTTGCTTTATATTGTTCACTATAACTGGCGAGTGAATGAATGAGAACTGGGTCAAAATTGTAGAATAATTACCATACCAAACCCAAGGATCTGGGGGTTCCTGGGCCTAGGCCTAGGCCTTGTTAGCCCATGCATTAATCTGCCTATACCCCACACCTCTTCCCTCCCACAGACTTACTAGTTGGATGCTGCTCTCCAAGCTGCCTGGCTACCTTCTTGGCCACGTATACCTGGCATTTATTGGTGGCATTAATCAGCTACATTGCCCAAAAAAAGCCAATAATGTTAATTTTACTTTTATCAGTGCTGATCTGATATGCAACCAATATATCGGTGCCCCCAATTCTGTGTTTGCCCAGGGCCCCAATAAATCTTAATCTGCCTCTGGTGAGAGCTAAAAGCAGCATCTTATTTAAATATATAGCCTGCTTTGGCATTCTTTTATGGTGTCAACCTAATGTCGTTATTTAAAATAACAGGTGGCTCTTAGCATCTTATTAAAAATTGGATTCTTTTCCATTTTCTTTGGCAGATGTACATTCAAGGAAAGCTTATTTTTGCCAACTATATTTTCAATGGATACAGCAAGTCAGTGAAAGACCTTCAAAAACAAATAGCTAAGACCAGGAGTGATTACCACATGGGCTACTGTTTACCGAAAGATTTCAAATTCAGGTATTTCACTTTTTAAAGCCATGACCTCCATGTCATTCTGAGAATTTTGATTTCTTTCTTCACCTCTTTAAAAGTAACACAGACCATAATTTCAGCATCAAAGAGATTCTGTTTATGACATATTTATTAAGTGACTGAGGTGCAAGTTCTTTCTGGTCAGGCCCATCTTACATGTCAGACTGTTCAGCCCATCATCCACCAGGCTGCAGAATCATTTTTAAGAAATTCTAGGCATCCACACACGAGTGCAGAGGCTGCTCTGACATGCTGGAATTCCAGCACGTCAGAACAGACTCGATTAAATGAGTCTGCTAGCATGGCAATTTGTCAGGCTCCAGCAGCCTCCTGCATCTCATGTATCAGTGTCCCCAGGGTTTAAAATGGCGGCGGGGGCACTTGATCTAAAGTTCATCGAATGAGCTTTAGTTCAAGCACCCCCACTGCCAATTTTAAGCATGGTGATGCTGATACACAAGACACAATGGTTCTTTAATTAGAGTGGATCTCGGAGCTGCTCTAATTAAAGCGCCGCCCCTCCCTGACCCCCGGAGCACATGTAAAAGTGCCCACTGTTACTAGCTTGTAATGAGGTGATCAGGAGAGATATGGGAGGGTTCAAGTCCAGCCACCCATCTTCTTTGACAAGGTACAATCTGTACTGGTCTTTTTTGGGAGGCTGCTCAGTTTGCTTTCTGGAACTATGTGCAAAAGTGTAAAAAAAGGAAAAGACCAGTAAGTCTCTTGGCAACTTACTTTCCCTTCATTTAGTTCATAGCTCCAGGGGTGCTCCAAAAGTACAAAGCGGAGAACAGCAGCTGAAAGTTCAGTTCTTCTCAAGCAATCCGAGCACGTGGCCTGGAGGTTAAGTTAACATAAGCTCTGAAAGACTGTTTGTCATTGTACAGAAGACTCCCAAATC